ATGGAAATAATGCAAAATTATGATTTCATGCAATTTCAGCTAGGGCTGACAAGAAGCCTATTTCAAATCTAACACTATAAAGCAAAGCTGAGTATTGCAAAAGAGCAAACCAGGCACTTAAATGGAAAATATCAGCACAAATACCTGAAAAATGAAACTTCCAAGGTTTCAATACCTCTATGATTTCAGAAACCAGTAGTACAACAAAATTAACTCATATTCAGCACAAGCTGAATACATATTGCTCACAAATATGCAGGGATATTTTGGCATCATGTCATACATACAGAGAATCTAGGATGGGCTTTGGGGTGACTGGCTGTATTTCTCCTATACTGGTCAGCACAAACCCAGGACTCTACTCAGGCATTAATGTTCCCTTATGATCAGTGGCTTACTAATTAAAGGAAACTCAAAGATACCCTCACTTAACTTACATGTTTAGTAAAATATTAAAGCAGTGCTGTTGAATTCACAGATTCATTCTGTTGTTTATATGATGATATAGTACTCATTAGAAGCATAACTGTAAGAATACAGTTTTCAGAGGCTCTGACGGGCATTGAGACTCAGAGGGCAGGAGGCTCTTACATCCCAGAGACCTCCCAAACCTTAGGAAGCACAAGGAATGCCAAACTCGCTAAACTTCAACTCCTGCAGATGCAAACTGCTTGAGACCCAAGGTGGTTAACCATGTAAGGGACTCTTACAAATAGGGGATGCTAAAACTGTAGGGTCTGAGGTAGCTGCCTAGTTTACAAATCAATGTTTTGTTCAGTTGCGAAAAATAAGTGGGCAAAATTATGAAACCAGCATCTGCTTTTCTCTGCTTGCGTCCCAAAATCCCATGTGTTTTTACACAAATCTTGTCTGATCAGTATCTTAGTGAAAGCAAGGGATTATAACCATTTAGGCATGCAATGAGTAACTAGGTTTTTGATCAGTTAGGGTTTACTAATAATTTATAACTTCTGCTGGCTTTATTTTATACTTAGATACTCTAAAATTAATCTCATTAACAGAACAAAGTTGATGTTTAGCTCTTTGGTCCATACACTATGAGCCATGAAATATGATTCAGCATTTGTGACAGACATTATTTTATTATTTTAAACACTAAGATCATAATTATTTGCCACTATCTTTTTTTCTGTTTTCCTAGCATTTAAGTAAAACATATATTTGAATAAATCAGTTTCAAAGTTTCAGAGATGGCATGAACTACTCTTTCGTGCTATTGCACAGAAACTTATCTCATGATCACGTTCCTTTGGCAATAGAGCATTTGTTTACAGGAGAAGCCTAACTACTTCATGGACCTTTGCTCTTTTGGATGTATGTCAGTGGCAGGAAACAAAAGACAACACATGGGCATTTACATCTCACAGGAAGAATTTAACTGGATCCCAGTGGGTAATAGGTCAAAACGTGAGAATCCCTGACCCACACATCAAGTAGAGTTTAACTAATAATGTAGAAATAATATATGCATACATACTACTGCTCTTCTTCCAGGTTACTGTCTTTGAGGGTAACATAATTGTAGTCCAGCTTTGCCCAGTGTTCTTGACCTGCAATAAAATTTATTTTAGCTGTCATTATGTTAATTAGAAAATAATGTTAGAAATTACAGGGAAATGAGTAATCGATATAGCAAATCCACAGCCAGATCGACAGGTTTTTATGTATATTGCCATGCTCACAGTTCCAGTAATACTGTTTAAGTCCTGGTCAGAACTGTACACCAAAACCACATCTGCATGAAAACTCTGAATTTGGATACTCTGTATTTTCGAGATATTTGGATTTGGATTCTGATCTGTACTTTGCCTCTGACTTAAGTCTAAAAATAGTGAAACTAAATCTCTGATTTAAACACCCTATGACTTTTAGATTCGTAGTCAAAATGGAAATTTCTGATTATTTCTCGTTGCTTATCCTTAATCAAGTTGGAAACCAAAATAATAGAGTATAAGCAAATATGACAGAATAGAAAAAGGAAAAAATCTAAAAAGGCTGCTTTTGGTTTTGCTATATTATTATTCTACATTTGCAGATTTCACCCTTCCAAAGTCTAAAGAAATACTTGGGTTCATGAGAGAATGAATACAGTTCTTTTACACATCTCCAGAAAAAAAAAAAAAAAAAAAAAAACCTGAGTATATTTAAACTCCAATTCTATTTCATAAAGAATCACTGAAAAGATGAGAGTGCACCTAATAGTCATATATGTCACTATATATTGCAAGTCAATTTTATTGGGGGTGATATATTACTGAAAATGTATCCGTTTGGGTTAGACAACATTTTGGAAACTATTAAGCCAGTAAACAATAAATTAGGATATACTAATCAGTTCCCGAAACCACGCAGACGATGCTGTTTATGACGGTGATTTCCAACAATCCTAACAGCCCCCTTCTTTACCTAGAAGCTGAAATTATTTTAGTTGTATTTCCCCTAACTTTTTCTCATGTGTTCAGTATTGCTTCAGCTTGTACTTACTGCATGTACTCTAACCTAAATCCCTTGCAAGATAAACAAACTTGTTTTTTTACAGAACACCACACATGTAGAATATGTGATATGAATTGGAGGGAGGTCATGATTTATACAGAGACTGAACATTACAAATAGAAAAGTTATCATGTGTGTGCAATATATGACCCCTAATTTGGGGATCTACAGATTGTCACATTGAAAAAAAGCAAAATAAAACAAAAAATCAAAGAATGCTTTGCCTGCAAATATTATGATGCTGCTTTTCCCACTGTGAAACAGTTTAAGTCAAACCTCTTTTGTATCATACTGTTTCTCTTCCACACATTACAGCTTTCAAATTCTCAAATTATAATACCATTAATTGTTAAAAGTCCCTTTTAAAAAATATCCCTGAGACTCTTCAGAGTATTCATCCCTATTTGCATTGTACATATTTTGTGCAGAGGAAATGTATCTCCAAAGACCTCTTTAGAATTGTCTTGAGCAGTGTATTTCTCTAGTTCAATCCAAAAAATATTCAAATGGAATAAAATGAGTGAAAATAGTTCAATACATCATGAAATGATCTAACACTAACAAAGGTTCTAACTCAGTTCTGCTAACCTAGTTAGGGAAAGAAAAGCCTTTATAAACATCTGTCAAACGACGAATTTTACACCTCATATAAAAAACAAGAACATAGCGATGCTGCAATAAAACCAAAACCAGAAGTTGAACTCGACCCTTGGGTGCAAGCTTGTAAATACTACCTGTATGAGAAAAACCCACAGGAAGAAGTTACAGCAAATTTGCTTGTGTGTTTGCTTGTTCCTAATGAAGAACAAGTGTTTTGAGAAGCCCAGCAAACTACTGCAGTGTAGTACAGGTAGGCTGGCTTTATCAGATGGGCAAGAAAAAAAGTAGGCTTCCCACTCCTGTCTACATTCAGTAGGAACTAGGCTCAGAGTTCCCTTGGACTTCTTTGAAAATCTTAGGTAAGGTCTTTGAGACATGTTTCCATTTAAAAGTTAATATTCATTTAGAAATTCAGTTCACACATGGATAATTGAAATATCACTGTTACTTAGAAGCTCTTGTGTATGCGACAGAGGACTAAGAGTCTTTCATGGCAACTACTATGTATGCAGTGTCTCACACCATGTATTTACAAAAGGAAGCAGTGCTCAGAGATCTGGGATTTAGTTTAATCCCTATTTTTGAAGGGAAAAATTTACTAAAGACAGGAACAGAAATACTTCTTGCTACACTTATAAACATAGTTAGCAGATACAGAGAAATGTTGTACTGATAAATGTCTGAAAACTTTAAAAAAATGAGCATTTGCCTTGAGTTCTTTTTGATTTCATTGTGTATATTCTTGATGAGAAGATAAATGTGCTTTTGGGGGCTGCAGTGGAATCCAGCATTCAGTTTAATATTACATCTTTTTATTAAAAAAGCTTATACATGATTAATAGATTTCTTAAAAATAACCAGTTATTAGAAGTCCAGCATTATGATGGACTGCTTATAACACCAATTACTTTGTTACAGAATTGATGCCTGTAACCATCAATAACATTCATACTTCTCAAGTATACAACACAGCTATAAAATCTATTAATCATGCATTAACCTGTTATAATTGGAACTTTTATTTATAGTGTAACCAAAATTCATTTATGGTTTTCACCTCAAGTAATATGTTTCAAATTCTGAATGTAATTCTTTATAATATAGGGAGTTATCAGGCCCTGAGACTTGGTACGTAAGACGTCTAAATACTTATGTCCTTGGTGTGTGAACATTTCCATTTAATTAGTACAGTTTTTATTCTGATAACAGACTTAAAATTCAAAGTCATGTTTTCAGAAATAATGATATTTACCATTGTTTTCATAGCTTTTTACAAAGAAAAAAAAAAGCCTGGGAAAATATAATTTCTCAAAAATAAATACTCCAAACCTTTTAGTATTCTGTTCCCCCTTTGTATAGCACAGCCATTTGCCAGTATCTCCTCTGTTTTACAAGAAAACACTCTTTAGCCGCTAGATGACTTCTTTGTTAGCAGTCAATGATGTGATGCTGGAAATGATTTTGTAAAGAACACTCTGATATGGAAGGTGTTTGGGTTTGTTCCTCTTGGTATATGGTTTCACTGGATAACATTGTTTAAAAAGACAGACAAGAAACAAAAGCAAAGCAAAACAAAAAAACCTCCCTGGGACTGAAATACTTTGTATGTGTTGTTATTTGCAGTGCATGCCAAGACATTCATGGGCACCAGAGCCAACCTGGCGAGCTAATTAAATATATAAATGTATGTGTTTAAAACAGCCTTATAAGGAGCATTGGAAATCTGCAAGATGAGCGAATATCTTATAACTTCTTCCGCAGGTGCGAGGATAGCTACAAGCCATGGACTTTCTGTCCTGCTTCTTGTTTGTGGCTTTGTGAAGGGTGCTTTGCTTTAATCTAAAAGTGCTGACTTTTTCCAATATCACTTTCTCTTCTTAAAGCAAAGAGCAAATCGCCTGTAAAATCCACGGAGCGGACAGCAAAGTTGACCCTAACCTCCAACCACCACTCTGCACCCAATGTACTCTAAATCTCTACACAAGGAGCACCTTCTTCAGGAAGTACAAACAAAAATACTAAATAAATAAAATAAATAAATATTATAAAAAGAAGAGGATACCACATGTTTTCTTGATATATCTTATTTTCTTTGGCGTATCACTGATCTTTTATTTGAAGAGAACTGGTGTGATGTAATCAAACGTTTTGTAACAGCAAGACCTAGTTTCCTTTTCTTTCGGCAAGGAGAAGCCTCATCCTTGACTTCTCAGGGGTTGGCCTGCGAGTCATCAGTATTACAGAATTAATCATGGATGACATTTGGTTTCCTACGCTGAAAGAACCGTTCCAGCCTGGAAGCAAACAGAGGCCAAATAATGAAACAAAATATAGTGATTCCACATTGACCCCAATAAAACACGCCACAAACTTTATTAAAAAGTTTGTGGGTTTTTGGTTTTGGGGTTTTTTTTTGCATGAGGAATAGGGAGGAGAAAAGAAATTCTACAAAGCAACTAAGGACATTATTTCTGGAAAACAAATGAGGATACTTTTCTTTTGAGTTGTTTGGGGTTTTTTTATTATTCCCCTGTGGGGGGGGTTCCTGTCTTTTTTTGTTTGTTTCTTGTTCAATGGTGGCAATTACTGACTTAGGCCAACCCCTGATGATTGCGTGGAGGTTTATATATATATATATACATCTTTTTTTTGTGTGCGTTCTATATTTCAGTGTTTTCTCTAATTTTGCAACTCCTGTATATGCAAAACCAATTTAAATTCTGTAAATTGCTTACAGTCTGTGTGATATAACTTCAGAGTAGACATACTTTGGTCCTCATGCAAGCCAGTTTTTAATATTATCTATATGTCGTGCCATCAATAGAAATCTTTATTTCCTTTTTTGAGAAAACATCACTTTTTAGTTTGTAATTCAGTACTGTGTGGATTTTGTAATACATACCTTCACTTCCACTGGTTTGACCCCTTTCAGCCCTCTGTTTACTCTGTAAATGCACATTAAAATTTGTTATGGTCTCTAGACAATGAATTATTTTAGTTTTGTGTATGTTGTGTTGGAGTTCAGATGCTGAAAGCTCTTTTAATTTGTGATGTTTATAGAGGATGAAGTGATTTGAATACTAGAGACTGTAAAATGCAGGTTTGCAGTCAAGTACTGCATGTAAAGGAAGGTTAGAAGGGGAAAACAGACAAATAAAACAGAACATGGCTTAAAGGATATTCTTCTGGAAAAGAGTTTTAGGAAAGTGAATTTATTACACTGATAAACTATATTTGCATCACAGCTCCTTTTACATGGCCAAAGATGCGTCTTTCTTTGCTTTTTCTGGAAGTGGACTGTCATTACTCATTGATATTCTTAATTAAAATACTTTATGTCTGTGAACTGAACATGAGAATTTTGCTATTGAATGAAGTAATATGCATTACATGAATTACATTCATTAATGCAAGAAGGGAAAATTGCTACCATTTGCAGCTGCAATCCGGAAGGTTTTTTTCTTGTTCCCCTCCTTCCACTGATGCTGAACAATCCACACCCCTTCATTTATCAGCACAGATAATCACGTATACCACATGCTTATCATGATCTATTTACAGCAGCATTAAGTAGCTACAGTGTGGTCAGCTGTATGATTTCTCCTCATTTTGTAAGTATTGTAGAAAGAAGTAAAAAAGTATGTTTAATATCTCACCAGTCCATGGCCTACAGGCCTAACATTTTACTTGAAAATGCCCACAAGTCTGAAGTCTTGCCCCATTAATTTCAAAGAAGGATGAACAAATAGTAGCATAGAATCAAAGGGTAACACACTAACGCTTTGGAAGAGGATAACATATTTTTGCAAATCTTATTTTCCTTAACCATATATTCTGTACTATAAGCTTGACTGGGAATAGTCAGTCTTTCTTTGGTTTTAGAAAAGTCTTAGCAGCAATAAAGAGAGTAGAAGTTTGGTCTAACACAGACAAATCAGGAACAACTGTCTGGAGAAAAAGGGAAAAAGTTCTTTTATTTCAACATAAAATTAATGACCCACTAGGAATATTGTGTATTGGAAAGGTTTTGCTCCATAGTAATAACAGTTTATCAGCCTACTGACAAAGAAAATAGAAACAGTCCCCACTAAAGTGTTCTGAATCAAAACCAATATTCTGGATCAAAAAGGAAGTAAATGAAAAAAGAGCCAGAGCTTTTTGAAGTCTCATTTTCTGACCACACCTATGGAACAAAACTTTCAGAGCTCTGGAGGAAAGGCTACATTTTACCCATGAAATAGTTATCTATGACTGGATGCTGTGAGAATCTCCCATGTGAAATTTGGGCACCTCAGTTTCCATTGGTCTTAACCGGAACCAAATGCTTAACATCACCTGTGTTTCATATGTTTACTGTATACATATATCTTGTATGAATATTCTGTGTATGCATATAGTCATATAGACAACCTGCACTGAGAGACAGCATTTTTCAGAAGCAGTTTAGCCTCAAATTGTTAAAATTAGCCCCTGATTACTATGTTACACTGATAACTGTGTTTTGCTTTATGCTGTTAGCTGCTTAGATATAAATCACGATGTACTAGGAAGTAAGACTAAAGAACCAGCTGAAATTAAAAGCAGAATTCTAGACCACTCAGACTAATGTGATACAACAACTCAGAAGACATTACCAAGGAAAGTGCCATATTGTGATCTGCTATTGCTTTTTAACAGTGTCAGCAAAAAAAATGGACAAACGAAATCTGTAGGACTTCTGAAAAGCCTTTAAATCTTGCACAAGATGCTAAGGGGATACAGTAGTTGTCCTCCTTCCCCCAACCCCAACATAATAAACCCAAGTTCTTCAGACGAGGCTTGTCCAGCCCTTCTGGTTGCAGACCTAGAGCCTAGCTTTACAGTTTCTGCCAATCTGTGTGGACGCAGCAGCAACATCTCCTAACAGGAGCAAGTGTTGTATTTCTAAATTCTATGCTGTGTCTTAACAGCCCTTCTTCAAATCAGGAAGCTGCCTGAAGCTCCAAGAGATTCTCAAAATGCAAGTTAAGCTGCAGTAGCCCCCCTTTTACCTAGGAATTTAGATATGAACAATTTTTGGTATGGGAACAGAACTACTGCCATTTTCTGCCCTGACCCAGTTCTAGTTTGGATTTAACACTAACAGAGAAAAAAAATGGCTTAATGATATCCTTAAAAGCTCCACTGAGTTAGGTATTTAAAAGGGCAACTTACTTCTAGCAGTGGCAAAATCTCTCAAAACCCAATGTCCTTAACCTTTCTACAAAAATACTCTCGTTTTGAGGTGGTCATTTACACGACTCATGCTTCTCACTTGGTGTCCTCAAGGCCTCATTGCATATGTGACTTTCTTCAGATTGTTCCAACAGTTTTTATTTCTAATAGAAGAGTAAACATGGGTGACTATGAAACACTTTTGTATTTCAAGGTATATGCCATCTCACCTCACATGCTTTCAGATGTTATGTCTTGTGAAGCTAAAAGAAACATAGTCCAACTTCATTAAATCTTAGTGACAGCTTTTGTATTACATGAAAAGAAGGTCTGTAACACTTTCTTACTACTATCAAGGAATAGTACTGCTACAGAGCCTGTCCCATAAATTCTCCTCTGTTTCAATGGTTACCAATGTTCTTTTAATCTCTGGAACTTCATGCATGCAAGTTGCTGCATAACATGTTTGAACTTTCCTTTCTTAATTGCTTTTTGTAGATTCTTCAAAGAAATTTATGGAGCAGGAGGGATGCTCAGACCATAGATTTAAAAAAGCTTGGCAGAGTAATTTAAGATTGACTGTTTGTTCCTCAGAACTCCTGTTAAGAAAGGTGCTAGAAAATTTGAATGGCAAACACCGAATATATAATGAATTATTGTTATTTCTTTGTCATTCTCAATTTTGAATATTTATATTACAGTACTACCTGAGGGCAAAGATCAGAAGTAGGTATAAACATGAGGCACCACAGCAAAAGCACTGGGACTGCTTGACAGTTCATCCCTATGCACGTAATTCAGTGCTGCTGTGATTTAGGATCAGAACACACCCTAGTAGCAGTTTTTCTCACATGCATTCTTTAAAGTATTTTGGCTGCCTTCAAATAAAATGAGGAAACAGTGGCCACTGCAAAAATCTGAATGCTTGCCTAATATTTTTTAACTTCTAATGATCTCTACAGTGATGTCATCATTTAATTCACCATTAAAGAAAAAAAAAAAAGACTGCACTGATACTAATCTTCAACTCCTTCCTCAAAAAAAGGAAAAGAAAACAATTCAAACCTTTGTTATTTGCAGGACAGGGGAACATTTGTCCATGACATTAGTATTGGTAAATGTCAAATGTTGTTTACAGAGCTAAAAGCATTAAGAACCAAGAATGGGATCAACATACTTCACAATATGAATTTTTAAAGGTTAATCTTCCATGATTAGCTTAGCTAAACAATGCTAAGCACAAAGTAAATTGCTTAATGCAAGTCACCATAAATGGCTTCAGTCTTTTGTTCTGAGCTTCCTAAATATTGATTTATTTGATTTCACAGTCATAAAGTTTGCACATACATTCACATAGTTGAAAGAGTATACATAGTTTTCCTAGTGCTCTTCATCTAAACAATACAGGAAGACAATAGCAAAGAAGAAAGTTAAAATTTGTCTGTAATAATGAATCACAATCAGTTGGTAGAGTTACTTGCAAAGAAAGTGTGCTTTATTGAGAGTCAAGTGTAATTGCAATCTTATTTCATCTTCTCCTTTTTGTGCTTTTTTTTTTTTTGCAAATGCTTCAATCTAAACAACAAGACAATACTGTATTTCTTACTACTCACTTCTTACAAGGTGACAAAGGACAAAATAATGTCATCTTTGCTATGAAAGAATCTGAGGGAAAAAAGAATCTTTTCATTTAACAACAATCTAAATGTTTACAGTGTCCTGTCACCTCAAAATATCTCTGTTCATAGGTTTATGGGGAAGGAGCGACAAAGTGTTTTGTGTTTCAGCTTGACTTCCCAGCTCTAAGAGCGTTCTCAGTTAATTGTCATCCTACAGCTAAGGACAGGAGTCTTCTGTAAGTTTCACAAATACAGTAATTTTCCCTGTAACTACCAGTGACAGATGGTTTCAGTTTTGAAATGATAAATACTTGCAACTCAGAATATTTTTCCATACAGTTATAAATGTTACAAGGAATAGCAAATATTAAAGCCATAAACAAGTCTGGAAAAATACCTTGAACTAGTAATCTCTCAAAAGTTTCAAAATATGACAAACACTTTAATCAAAAAAAGGCTTTTGGTGGGATTTTGTTTTAAAGTTATTGTAACCCGCTCTTATCCATACAGCTATAAATACTCTGGATTTGAATTCCAACTATATCGTGCTGACAGTACAGAGGGCCTTCAGAATTTTCACTTCTTAAAATGCTCCTTTACATTGATATTACAGCACAGAAATGGGTCTTATGTGTATATGAGACTATTTACAGTGACAGCTCATAAGGAAGCCAAAATGTACATAATGGACTATTAATTCCTTTCCTCCTTTAAGATACCATGAACTTGAAAAACAAGAGAGAATATTGCGTTAGACAACTAGCTGCTTAAAATAAACAATTTCACTTAAATCTTTGAAGAAGCAAAGTCTCATTAAAAAGACTTGTATAACTATGACCTTTTAAATTATATGGGGTTTAGATTTTTAAGCAAAGTTATACATATTGTATATGAAGTCCTTGTACATAAAATTGAGAAGGAAGGAGATGATGACTTCTTTTGTTACTTCTGAGAGAAGTTTGTTAATTGTTGCTGATTGTTTTCATTATCAAATGATTTAACAGACCCTCAAATCATTAGCTGCTATACTTCTTAAAAAAATAGGTGCCAAATTTTCTTATCACCTGCACTAGACTTCAGTTTTTGGATGTTAACCAACACTGGTTCAGGTTTCAAAAATGTTGCTGATTCACCATAAGAGAAAATGAGGAATGCATACTTTACTAAAAATAAATGCCAACATATCTACTAAACCACCTCCATGTCTTTTTCTTTGGTGAATCAGGCACGAGAAATATTACTTTTGTCCATATGTGGCATCGCCTCAATGGGGCCAGGCACTGACAAGATGTAGAACTGTGGATCCTAGTTGTTTCGCCTGCTAATTGGATTCCTGTGTAAGAGACAGAAAACAGAAGGCATGATTCTTTCTGTTTCCCTACAACAGTCAACAATGAAGGATCTTTACAGGGACTACCAAACCAAATCACTGCTGTGAAAAATGAGGTTGATGATAGTTCAACTCTGCAATAAGGTGAAAGACTCAATGAAGTTAAATGCAATTTCTCTAGCATGCAAAGGTTTTTCTTCCAAAACTAC